TAAGTATTTGTCAGGCAATGCTGTTGTTAACACTGTTTTTCATTATGGTAGATGAGATTTTTAGAGACCTCTCTATTACTTATACACTTGCTTCTTCTATGATCTTCATTGAGACAGTTGATTTAGAAAATCCCAAAGTGATGAAGCCTTCAGAAAACATCCCCTGCCCTTATTTTATCCTGTAGGCTGGTTATCCTCTGTTCAGTGGCTCTCAGGAACTTCATTCCTTATGGGTGGCTTACCTAAGTCACTCCTATTTTAGTGTCCCTGCTCTGCTCAGCTTGGTCCTTTTCAGTGGATACTGAATCCTGATGGTAAATGTGAAGGATGTAGAAATGGGTGACTCCACAGTAGTCTCCCACCTTGAAACTTGGTTGTTCAGAGCAAAGTCTCATCTCACAGCCAAGCACAGCAGAAACCTGATCTCATGAAGCCCTGCTGTGTGCCAGCCATCAGTTGGCAGGGGTGTTACCCACAGGATTGGGGTAGCTAAAGCAAAGACTGAGGTTCAAGGTTGAGGTGGGAAATACAGGCAACGAGGGCTCATCATACTCACGGAATAAGTAAGGGCACATACGTGTTCCACCCAGCTTTGCTTAAAGTTGACAATGACTGAAAGTTCAGCATGGGTTTATTGGAACAATCCTCAATGACATTGGTGACATGGCAGTCAGTACACAGGAAGTAATGCTCTAGGAGCTTATAAGCTGCACCCTTTGTTCCCCCGTGATTTTAGCAAAGCACTGAAATGGCAAAGGGATAGGACATTAGAGGTACAGTAATAAGAGGGCCTTAGGAGAACAGGGCTTAGAGAATGGCAAGCTGACTGTGGGAAACAGAGTGACAAGAGAGCAAAGGGGATCTCGGACTTAAAAGCAAAGAACTCCCAGAGATTTCTTCTTTCAAGTATAGGGCATCTGCATTTCCTTTAAAACCAATTAAGGCCTTCACAGGTAACTTGACTTCCTTTGACATTCACTGAATGGGTTTCTAACTCTGAACATCTCATTGTGTTAACTTCTGATCATCTTGACGATTTGGTTTATTCTACCACAATTTTTTAAAATGTCGACATGTGAATGGAGCTCGGATAGAAAGTGACTGCTCCGAACATGTGTGCCAGCTCTACAGGTGGGACGGCGCTTCCTTGGTCATGGGCTTTGCTCAGCACCTGCCTTTGCCCCCAAGGCTTCTGTGTCATTCTACCTGCCCAGGGTTGGGAAGCCTCTTACAGCCACATACCCTGCCATGGATTCAGATGGGCCACAGCAGCAGGTGGCTTCCTCTTGGGTAGCTACAGACTTCTGGCACCCTCCTCTGCTAGACGTTTTGTTCTGATTTTTACAGCCATTTTAAACTTCCAAAAGTAAAGATTTTTCCTCCTCCAATCTGCTTTTCAGTTTTGCTGTTATAGTGTCAACTAGTCTTCCGCAAATGGCAATATGTTCTATGCTTTGTCTAGCCTCTTCCTAAGACATCTAACTGTCCCTGAAATGAAACCTCTTGTTTACAAGCATTTTAAAGTCACGGCTCTATTAAACAATGAAATTGATTACACTGTAAATGGTAAAGGTTTGGATTTTAAAAACTGTTATTTATGTATGCGTTTTCAGTCTATCTCTGATCACAGTGTTTGTCCTAAATTGCATGAGGATTGAAAAGAAGAAAAGAAACTTCTTAAGGTGTGATAAATGGTGAAAAGCCATGGAACCAAACAACCTATGGGACAGAACTCTTTATATATGTATGTGTGTGTGTGTGTGTGTATACATATATATATATAAACTAGAAAAATTCTCTTGGAAGTTCTAAATGATCATATTCATGCCATATGTATTTATTAGCAATCACATTTTATTCCTTTAAAATGATGAACTCCAAGTCAGAGGATTAATGACAGACCTTTGTTGAATAGAATCAGTTACATAGTAGGTGCTCAAGAAATCTTCAGTGAATTGAATATGGTATTCAATGAGAGATTTATATCCACTGACCTCTAACATGCTACCTCACTTTGACCTGTGATTTTATAGAATTTTCTTAAGAACAAGGTTAATAAATGGGGAAAAGCTCTGGTAGATATGGATTGCCAGTTTCTTCAAACTAGAAGGTGAGCCCAGAAAGCTCATAGAATGGTGATCTAAGGACCAGGCTTCACTGAAGGCCAGTTTGCATTCTGCATGATTTACATTAAATCAGATGCCAAAGACAAACAGCCTGGGTTCTCACCCATCGGCATCACCCCAGTTGACTTTTAAAAAGTACATTATTTCTATTGCCTTCAAATTCTTCATGCATTTTTGCAACAATTATAGAAATCTACTTGGTTTTGGTCTGCAATGACGAATATCTGGATGTTTATTAGGAGTTGAGAAAAGCTCAGTAGAAATGATCAGGCTTTCTTCTACTTGGTTACATGCGTGGGCTCAAATGAATAAAAATAACAGCAGCTCATTGTCATGTAGCATTTTAAGATACACATTGTACTTCTCAATAAATGTGGATAGATAAGGTATTATTTTTCTGTTTAAAAATTTAGAACTGAACTTCAGAGAGGTCTCACGAGTAGCCCCACTTTGTAGTTAGCAGAAGCAGGAGCCGAACCCACTATTCAATTGATGAGTTGTTTTTTGCTGTATTATACACTGTTCATCACATTCTTTATAAACTGTGTCAAAGTGTCCAAAATTTTAATATTTTTTCTGACTTCTTTTGTATCTATGAGGCTGTTTTTTAAGGACTGGGAACTCCACAGGGGCTACTGGTTTTAGCTAAAGGCCTCATAAACATGTGGTACTTAGTAAATGGCAGAAGAAGGTGAAGTGTGGATACTCCAGAAGATCAGGTCTTGCTTCAACAAAATATCCAGAAAAGAAATTAAGAAAATGATCTAAAGGTGGTGGAATAAATCTGACATAACTTTCCTATGTACATATATGAGTACTCCATAGTGAATCCCATCATCACATACATCCACAAGACTGGGATCCTAATTAGAACAAGACACACTCCATGCTTGTATAAATATATCAGAATAGATTGTACTGTCATGTATAACTAAAAAGAACCAATAAAAATTGTATCAAGGAAACACAGCAGGAAGAAAGGTAGCTCTTTAATAAATGGCACTGGAGAAATTGCTATGCACATGTAATAAAATGAAATCAGATCCTTATTTTGCCGCATACTCAAAAATCGACCTAAAATGGCAGGAAGACTCAAGCTTAAGTCCCAAAGCTGAAAGGCCCCATGACACTGGGCTTCACAGTGACTTTTTTTTTTCAGTATGACACAAGAAACACAGTCAAACAAGAGCAAAAATAAATAAGTAGGAGCATATCAAATTTAAAAGTTTCTGAGACACCAAAGGAAGCAATCAGCAAAATGGAAAAAACACCCTACAGAATGGAAGGAAATATTTGAAAGACATAGATCCAATAAGGGGTTAATATCCAAAATATATAAAAATTAATACAACTATATAGTAAAAAATCAAATAACCCAATTAAAAATGATCAGAAAGCTTGAATAGACTTTTTTTTTCTGAAGAAAATAAATGGTCAATAAATACACAAAAAAGTACAGACTATCAGTAATCATCAAGGAAATGCCAATCAAAACCACTATAAATCATCACCTCACACCTGTGAGAATGCCAATATAAAAAGTCAAAATGTGTGTTGGCACGGATGTAGAGAAAAGGGAATACACACCCATTGTTGGTGGCATGGTACATTGGTACGACCATTATGAAAAACATGGAAGTTCCTCCGAAAATTAAAAATACGACTTCCATATGACCTAATATATTGTGGGTATGTATCCAAAGGAAGTAACATCTTTATCTCAGATATCTGCCTTCCCATGCTCATTATAGCATTCTTCACAATAGAGAAACAACTTAAGTGTCTGTTGATAGATGAATGGACAAAGAAAATGTGCTAAATATAGACAATGGAATGGCATTCATCTAAAGCAAAGATGGAACCCTATCATTTGCCTCAACCTGGATAAACCTGGAGGACCTTTGAATACGCCAGTTACAGAAGGACCAGTACTGCATCCCTTATATGCATGTGAGAATGAAAAGAATCGGAACTTCCAGAAACAGAGAATAGGAGGGCGGTTGACTGAGAAGCAGGGGTGAGGGAAATGGGGAGCCCTTGATCAAAGCATTCAAACTTCCAGAATTATAAAATGAACACGTTCTGGAGAACTAGGGCATGGCATGGTGACCAAAATTAGTAAGACTGTATTGTGAACTTGAAATTTGTGAGGGGAGTAGATTTTAAATGGTTCTACACACACACACACACACACACACACACAACTGTAACTGTGTGAGGTGAGAGATATGCTAATTAGCCTGTTTGTGATTATTTCACCACGTGCATATGTGTATCAAAACCTCATGTGGTACACTTTAAATATGTGCAGTTTTTATTTACCAGTTATGCCCCAGTAAAACTGTGGTAAAACAGATCAACTTCTCCCAAATTCTAGATTTCATTGCCTCTGTCAGTCTGTGCCCCAGGCTTTCTAAGTTTCTTCAGCCTTTCTATGGGATCTTCATAAATAAAGATCAGTTGAGCGGTTCATTAGAAAGAAACGAATTCCTTCTTCAAAATTAACTTGTTTTCTGTTTCCTATGGCTCCTCTCCACATGAACTAATGACTGAATCCATCAGCTGCTCCTTTTGGGTCCCAACAGACCAATAGAATCCCATTTATCAGGAACTCGGTAGATCCCAGGTTACAGCCCTCTGAACTGTTTATCTTAGCTGTAGTTGTTGCTTTTCTCTGCCCCTCGTAATCAATCAATATAAACCAATCATTAATAATTTTGGGAAAATTGTGACTTTGCAGTAATGTTTTTATATTGCCAGTGACGATCCTGGCTCATTTTTGACGTTCACGGTTAGAATGAGAACTAAAAACTAATTCTGCCTTCATTATTTTCATGCTCTCTCTTTCTCTCTTTTCCTGCTCTCATTGTCAAGGTCATGGACAGTGTAACTGTGGGAGATGTGACTGCAAAGCAGGCTGGTATGGGAAGAAGTGTGAGCACCCACGTTCCTGCCTGCTGTCTGCTGAGGAGAGCATCAGGAAGTGTCAGGGAGGCGCTGAGCTGCCCTGCTCTGGAAGGGGTGAGTGTGGTCTCTGGGGCTTGTCACTGATTCCTAATCCTGTGCATCAGAGGAATACTATTCATGGGAGTCTTACAGAAGAGCACTTGCATGAGAGAAGGTTGGTTATCGGAACTGATAACCAGTCCACCACTGACCAGTGGAATTACATGGTGAAAGATCTCCCCCCAACTGCCCCACCCACACATGTGCACTTGCTTGTACACACATGCACATACACACTGTCCGTAGTTCTCTGTAGCTTTGAGGACTGCTCAATTTCAGTTCCCTTTCGTTCTGTTCAGTGTTACTCTTTTATTTAAGTTCAGTTTGTATATTTACTTAAAGCTTTTGAATGAGATGATTCAATTGTGCGCTGACATTTATGAAACCCACTACCCTTATTTTGGGAGATGGCTGGCTTTTGCAAAGGAATTGTATAAACAGCCCTGAACAGGTGCTGTCATTTTAGAAGATAGACTCAGATGTGTGCTTACTACCAGAGCAGCATAATTTCAGAAGGAAAAATTCACCTAGAGGAAAAGTGGCTTGTTTGTTCTTTTTGTCAAAATGAGAAACACAAATTCACGTTTCATATGGGAATAGCAAACTTTACATGAAATGTACTTCCAGAGGAACTGATAATTGATGTTATTACAACTTTTGTTTAAGAAAGAAGAAAGGAGAAGAAGTTTAATTTTCTGTTCCTTATCTCTTTTTAAAATCTACTTTTTAAAATTGAGACATAACATGAAATTTAGCCTTCTAAAATGCAAAACTCATTGTTTTAAATATAGTCACAGAATTATGAAACGACCACCACTAATTCTAGGACATTTTCTAGAACCCCCCCCCCCCATAGTGTCACTCCCAACCAGTAGAAACCACTAATCTACTTTCTGTTGTGGATTTATCTATTCTGGATATTTTGTATAAATGGAATCACAAAATGTGTAGTCTTTTTGTGGTTGGCTTAACATAATGTTTTCACTTAGTATAACGTTTTCAAGGTTCATCAATGTTGTAATGTGTGTTAGTACTTGGTGGATTTTTATGGCTTAATAATATTACACAGTGTGGATATCCCATAGTTGTTTATCCACTCATCGGTTGATGGATATTTGGATAATTGCTTGTCTTTTACTCATTGGTCCTTATGAATGATGCTTCTGTGAACATTCATGCAAAAGCTTTCGTGTTGGCATGAGTTTTCATTCCTTTGGGTGCATACCTGTGAGTGAATTCCATACGCTGAGTCATATGATCACACCACATGTAACTTTTTTAGTGTTACGAGGGTGTCTCTAAAATGGTTGCAACATTTTATGATCCAATCAGTGGTGGCAGTTCCAATTTCTTCATATCTTGTCCTTGCCTGGCTTTTTATTACTTACCAGTTTCTTTGTATAGAAAACTCCCTAGTCTCCAAATTTTTTTGTGTGTGTTATAGGTGTTTTCTCATGACCAATATTTTCCTCTAATGATTATAAATAGGATACTAGGTTATGGGTAGAAGGATTTATTGTTTTAATTTCAGAAGTACTTCTGACTAGCCCCATCTCCACCAGCAATCCAGAGAGGAACTATTTCTCCACTTGCTTTAATAATTCTGCCAGATGGTGCTGTGTATGCCTGTTGTGCTTTGAAGTATCAAAGAATCAAAATTATCATCCCTCAGATTAACATTATTTACCCTCACTTACAATCTACAGCAAAACAAACAATTTCTCATTACAATTTAATATTGACAAAATGCTTACCTATTGTGCCTCTTCATATGAAAAAGAATGGACATAGGAAGCCCAATCAGTGTCTCTTCTTATTAAAATAAATCAGTTTATCTTGTCATAACTTTATAATACTATAGGGGACAATTTCATGCAGGGAGGGAAAGAAAATAACTGTATCTCAAAATACATTTTGTTCTTGAGAACCTTTTCCAAATGTGTTTACTTGAGAAAAGTTAAGATATAGTTTTGCTACCATCTTAAAGTGATAAAGCACAGGGAAGTCTAATATCTTACAGCATTTTCTAAGTTAAAGGGCTCACTTTCTATAAGATAACCTTGAGTGGCTATGTATATAGTATAAGTAAATAGAGTAGTTTCTATACTATATTTATATTATTTACCAATAAGGATATCTGCATATGTCAACTCCCCCCAAAAAATCTGCAACAAAATTCAAAAGTTCTTTCTAATTTAAAGAACAAAATGATAAATTATATAACGAGGAAAGAGAAAGCACATACATTACCTCTCAAACATGGAAAATCACTTTAGTATACAGATTCCAGTGGGTTTTCATTGGTCTCTAAGTTTTTTTTAATGCATAGAACAATAGTGAGAGCATTTTCGTAGACATCATATTGATCTTGAATAAACTCTGACAGGGCTTGATCTTCAACACATATTGGTCTCTTATCTTTCTAAGAGTAACTATTTAGCTATCATTTGAAAGTAATGGAATATATTTAAAATATATTTTATCAAAAAGATGTTGAATGCATGTATAGAATTTTGACTTAAAAGTCATTAAATTCACTTAAGCCTATAAAAAATAGAAATCCTATCTTTGATTTTTATGGATTAACATGCTTTAATTAATGAGTTAAGTAATTTTTTACAAAAATTTCTTGCCTAGGACTATATTGTCAGAGAAATACTTTGTAAATAAATGATAAGTTTCTTTACAGGGAAAAGGAGATCTTGATGAGTGCAGTGATCTTCCAGGGAACCAGAGCAAAATAGAAGGTAGAATAAGGGAGAATAAAAACTAAGGATTTATATGACAGCCAGTGCAAGGATCAGACCAGTGGTCAGAGACCTTGGAGTTCTTCAAACTACATCTGCAAATTCACTGGCACTGGGTGTTTGGAAGCAAACATCCAACATGAAAACTGGATTAGTTTTGCAATTTTTGAATGAACGCTGCAGCTGTGGTTACATGAGTGAAGAAAGCAATTACAAGGCCCATCAGTTCTCAAGCCTGAGAGCCTCAGCGGCTCACCAGCTGGGGCCCAAAGACAAACAAAGGCCCAGAAGCCTAAAACCTCCTGTAGGATGTTCTCACATTCTGCAGAGGTCAGGTGATGGAATTTTTTTTACCAGAAATGAATTGAGACTTCTTGCTTCCACTGGTGGTGATTAAGTGGGAGCATTATGTTTCAAAGGTAGGAAAACAAATTATATGATCTCTTAAGTTCTTTATTAATCATTACTTGTGTTCCATTTCTTATTACCTACAGATATCATTTCATGATGGATCATCTATAATCCATGTACATATAAAATTATTTATTAGTTTCTGCTTCTGAGATTAGGAGTGGAAAATCACATTCTAAATTCACATATCGGTGCTCTGCTAACAGTATAGGGGAAAAACAGCCAAATGTATCTGACCTAACTTTCCTATATACATATGTGAATATACCACAGTTAATCTCACCCTTAAGACATTAAAATAAACTAAAATTAGCCAGGCATGGTGACACATGACTGTTAATCCCAGCGGCTCAGGAGGCTGAGACAGGATAATCATGAGTTCAAAGCCAGCCTCAGCAATTTATCAAGGTCCTAAGCAACCTCGTGAGACCCTAAATAAAATATAAAAAAGGGCTGGGGGTGTGGCTCAGTGGCTCTGGGTTCAATCCTTGGTAACAACAACAACAACAAAACACTAAAAGTAAACAGCAAAAAGATCAGTGGAGTATAGAGAAGGGAAGGGGGAGAGAGGAGGGCAATGGGAAGTACTGGGGACTGAATTAGAACAAATTATATCCATGTTCTTATAATTATTATGTCAGAATGAATCCTAATGTTATGTATAACTGAAAAGAACTAACAGAAACAGCTACTAATGGACTTATGATAGGCTATAGATTAGTTTTAAACTCTTCTTGATTTAAAAATACATCATCTTTATTACTGAGGTTCTTCTGAGCAAGAGTCGGACTTTAGCCAATACATATGAGCAAAGGATGTTTGTCTTATCTAAGCAGAAGCTTTGAGAGGCAGGACATCATTTGAAATCCCCTTTTCCCTTTGGCCTGAGGATTTGCAGTTCTGGAAATAGGGGCTGTTTCCTTAGCCTGGGTTTTGGAAACAGGACCATTGTCAGAAAGCTCTGCTGACCTCCAAGAACCTCTAATGTGAACGAGAAAGAAATTTCTGTTGTTTTAAGAAACTGTGATTTGGGATTTGTTCTGCAGCAGAACTCCTTACTGACTGATACTGTCTTCCAAAAATTTAGGAAATATAGTTGACCTAAAACAAATGAACAGGCAAGCAAACACAACAAGTTTACATATAAACCTAATGATCTAGATGATCACATGAACACTGAGGGTTAATATCTGTATGTATAGGTTATCAGGATCAAGAGCTAAATCAAAAAAATATAAGCATACATTTTACAAATGAGATATTTATGCTGTTCTAAAAACAGCAGTTATGTGAATTTATTCAACAGGTGGAATGCTAAGAACATTGAATGAATTTTCTTTATACTTTCCTCAAACATAATGAAGTAGGAAAAAGTATAATTATTATTCTTTTTACAGAAAAATGAAGTAGAAATTAGAACAGTTTGCTATTTCACATCAGAGGTGCAAGTTTTAATACAAACTCTTAATACAGTTTTACTGACTCCAGAACTATTGTTTTAGATAATTTACTTGTTCTTTTAGTATGCTATTTTCTAAAAAATATAATAAATATATTTCCCTGCTACAAATACAATATCATACGAAATCATTGAAGTGGTTATATAATATTCCATTATTTGTTTACATAGTAACCATCATATGGTCTTAGCAAAAGAATTTAACCAATCCTCATATAATAGAAATCATATTGTCTCTTATTCAGTGCCACAGTTTATATTCCTGTAGCAGAACATGTACACAAATCCTTAGTATTTATTGTTGAATGTGGAATGCATAGATCTAAATAAATAAAAATGGATTACATTTTTTAAATATAAAAGATCAGATGATTTTTATTCTCTAGAAAAATTGCACC